AGAGCCACCTCTCAAGGAGGTAAGAGGGATGACTTGTAGACAAAGGGCCTTTTCGGCAGCTGCCCCCAGACTATGAAATGCCTTCACGACTGAGATTCATCTGGCGCCGACGCTGATCATATTTTGGCGTCACGTCAAAACCTTCCTGTTCCAGAACGCTTTTAATTGAAATTATATCAACTGTGGGTCCAGATGGCAATTTTTAGAGTATCGATTTTAATTGCATTTTAATTGTTTTATCTTTTTATTGTATTTTTATTGCATTTTAATTGTCGTAAGCCGCCCAGAGACCTTTGGGTAGAGAGGGCGGCATATAAGTTAAACAAACAAACAAACAAATTTAAAATAAAGAACAAATGACAGGTTGGTGAGGATGTGTAGATTTTATAAATACACTCAATGAGTTAATTGATGCCTAGACTTTTAACAGTCAAGTGATGGCTGCGTGAAGTGTTCTTCCACTGAGAAGGAAGCTTAATGAATGCTCTGTCTGCAGGAAAGAACCATTAAAGAATGGGTCTTTTCTTGTCCCAGTCCAGGGGGGATTGAATTTAAAAGAACTTCACACTCATGCTTCACAAGCCCCTTCCAATTCGTCCTCTCTTCCCTTTAACTAGAATGGATCTCAGTTTTTCCTCTCCTTTCTGACCTTTGATATCTCCTTCCTTCTGGCCTTGTTTGATGCTCCTTTTTTATTTTCTTGTTTTCTTTTTAAAAAAAGAAAGAGGTTTCCACTCTTGTATCTTTTCCCGTATATTCTTTTGAGCCTTTCCTGCTGTATTTTCTTCCTTTTCACTTCAGTGGATAATCGGGCAAATGCCTCTCCAAAACCCTCTTCCATGAAGCACTGTCCTTGTGGCTTCTCCACCCAGCTCTGTCAGACATGGGCAGAAGGCGCTCCCTTTTCTGGATCTCCACACCATCCCTGCAGTATTGCCTCCCGAGGTTTTGTATGGTTTGGGGTCACCCACTGGCTGGGTATGTGTAGACAGAGGCAAAAAAACTGACTTAATCCCGACTGATGCAGGAGACGTATCAGAAGCAGAAACTGATTACACCTCAGGCTCATCCCTGAACTTCTTCCACATTAATTGTTGTAAGCCGCCCAGAGACCTCTCGGGCTCAGCCCCAAACTTCTTCCACATTATCAGCATCAAGAAAGGGCTTGAAGCCACATCTTGTGCCTCAAACTCAGCTCCGTGCCTCAAACTCAGCCCCAAGCCTCTTCCATGCCAACAGTAAGGAAGGGCTTTAAATATATTTATTTAAAATATTTTTACGCAGCAAGAAAGGGCTTGAAGCCACATGTTGTGCCTCAAACTCATCCCCAAGCCTCTTCCATGCTAACAGTAAGGAAGGGCTTTAAATGTATTTATTTAAAATATTTTTACCCCCGCCTTTCTCCTTAAAAATGACCGAAGGCAGCTTACAACAATGAAAGGCAATATTTAAAGTTGAAAACAACAAGTATACCACAGTGGTTAACCACTGAGTCAAAGAACATAGTTCAGCAACAAAACAAGGTTGCAGGCAGGCCTCGTGGCGCAGTGGTTAAACCGCTGTATTGTAGCCCAAACTGTGCTCACGACCTGGGGTTCAATCCCAGATAGCCGGCTCAAGGTTGACTCAGCCTTCTATCCTTTCGAGGTCGGTAAAATGAGTACCCAGCTTGCTG